GTATTAGGTCATGATGCAGGAATCTGCGACAGAGACAATAAGCAACAGTTCAATGAATCAAAATGGAATGAGCACTCTAAGCAGCCAATTAGATGCTGGCAGCAGAGATGGAAGATCAAGTGGTGACACCAGCTCTGAAGTAAGCACAGTAGAACTGCTGCATCTGCAACAACAGCAGGTAAGTTTTGTTTTTCTCAGTGATTCCTTAAAACAAATAAGCCTGTTTTTTTTTTTAATATGAAAAAAAATGTATTCAGAGCAAATTGAGCATGTGTTAAGCTAAAGGATGCTGAGAATGTATTATTATTTGGAACATGATTGAAGTAGGAGGAAAGAGAGGATTTTCAGATCAGTTACGTCATAGCAGCACCAGAGTGCCCTTCAGGTACCAGGCTATTAATTAAGTTCACAGGGTGGTCTTCGGAAGGTGCTGGAAAGCTTTGTAACAAATATTTTATAGCTTCTAGTTTACTAACATTGTGCTGCCGAATGTGATACTGCGTTTTCCACCAGAGGGCCACATTACTTGATACTTGCTTATACAATGAATTTATTCCAAGTCTGAGTTAAGGTGAAAAGGACCACAGGACTTTTCACAACACAGATGCTTACCCATGATAGCTGCAAATGTTTAGCTATTAATTAGGGGAAATTTGCCGGGAGGATGTGCAAGATGTAAACACTGTAAGGATTTATGTTGCTTTTCTTAAAAAACTCACTTTAAGATATTTTGAATATACATCTTTGGATAACATTAAAAATCACTCCCCCACCTCCCCCCCGTGAGTGTTTCACAAAATACAGTTGTTCTCTTTAAATCTAGAAGAGGAAACAGCTGCTCAATAAAGATATATCGTCAAGTAACCCATTATTCTTTTTATAAAACAGATTCATTTTTCCCTATTTTGTTTGTCAATGAAATATTATTTTTAACAAAAGAATAGCCATTCCATTCTTCACTGATTCAACCCCGTGGAAACAGTGACAGAACAGAAAGCTTCCTGTGCGTGCACTCACATTAGGCCAGAGTGAGTATACCTGTTTGAAAAAAAAAATTTCAGTTGTTTTAAAGATAAAGGTTATTTTTTTAACTCTCTGGATTGCATTCAGACTAAATGTGAGAAAACATTCAAATGAAAATATAATGAATTATTATTGAAATATGTCTCATCTTTAAGTTAGTATTTAACGAGAAAGAATACATCTCAAAAAATAAAGCAAATATCCACACTAGGGTAAAATTTAATAGAATCATTAATATTTTTTAAGTTGTCTTAGAATATATGTACTGAATAATGTCTTAACATTTTGGTATTGTTTTCAAGAATAATCCTCTTAAAGAGCTAGACATAATGTTTTAAATAGGTTCCCTATTATTTCGGAGTTATTTCTCTTTTCATAGACAGTAATTATTAGAACGATCGTATTTTTAAAATATTTTGTTTTAACCATTATAGGAATTACATACCTACCAAAGCCCCAGAATTAACCTATTCTTACAAGTTTCTTTTCATAAATGCAGTGTGGTTTTGTTTTTTTGTTTTGTTTTGTGTTTATTTTTTTTTTTAACCATAGCTCTTTTCTTCCTTTAATGTATTTATAGGAAATATACCATTGGAGTGCTATAGTAGTTCTACTGACTCCCTTTAGTCAGAGTCCTAAGAATTTATAGCCAAATTCTATTTAGTTTGAGAATAGACTGCATTTATAAAGGCAAGTGAAATGAATAACTGAAAATGAACATATTAGTTTAGTATTGAGAAGACAACAGTTTCTGAAGGGAAATGCAAAGAAGTAAGTTTTTTTTTTCTTTCAAAGTTCTGATTACTTACTTAATAATAATAATAATTAAAAAACAAGGTAATATCCTGGCTATAATTTATAGTACTCTGGAGGCATTTTATGGTGAGGTGTGTTTATAACCTGAATTTGAAGCTCACTTTGTTCTACACAGTTTATGTGAACTGTAAAGAAGTAAATACAAAAACTTATGTTCTTTATACAACTTAGCAACTTCATGTATTGCCTGTTTGTGGAGTGCCCTCTAGAAGTGATTTAACACAGTGGCTAAAGTGGGCATTTCCAAAGGACACTTCAGGATGTGTCTGCAGGAAGATATGTAATAATTTAATAAATAAACATGGAAAAACCTTTGTAAATGTCTCTTCCCTTGGTTATGTTTTAGCTATATTAATATAGTTAGATACATAATGTTATGGCATTTTTGTCTTTCCATGTATGTATTTTAAAGGAATTAAAACCATGCAAAAATATGCAAGCAAATTCATAAAAAGTGAAATAATTTTACAAATTTATTTTTACCTGGTGTTATTTTTAAATGTACGTATTTGAACAGAATTAAATTAGGTCTTGTAAGTATAATTATCTAAATATTGTTGCCTGAGGTCTCTTATTTAGAAATATAATTTATGAGGCAGTGAATGATGAAAACAAAATTTAAGTAAAATTTTGGTTTGCCATGAGCTTCTGGCAGAATATGGTCTGCTTTTAAAATCAGAATGTTTTCCTTGATTTTTCTGTTTTTTTTTATTTTTATAGAGTTGAGAAGTTTGGCTTAAAGCATGAATTTAAGAGGAAAGGTTTGTGTTTGGAATAGATTGTAATAGATAGTTAATGATAAATAGATTGGTAAAGTAAAAGAGATTGATAAATTATAGCTGGAGTTTTTACTTATAATTTAATTTTTTAATATTGAAGTATTTCTAAAATCTGGAATATCTTAATTTTTTTATTTAGAAAGAAAAATGCAATTTAATGTAAGGATATGTTAGAACAAAAGTCTTATAGTGTAAAAGCCATTTATTTGAGTTGGTTTGATTTTCTTATCAAAACTGTGTTACAGAGCTATTTGCCATTCTTATTTTCACCATCCCACAAGTTTAAGAGTAAAATGACCACTTCATCACCTTAGATACAATTTTACTTGTCTTATAATATTATTTATTGTGAATGGCTTTATTCCTTTCAAGAAATCTTACCATACATTTCTGATTGTTAATATAGATGAAGGTGGAATACTTTTAATAGTATAATGGACATGGTCTTAGGGGCCATGTCTTTGTTAGTATACTCTGCTATTTTCTATTCACTGAAAAAATTAGTAATAAAAAAGCCTTCTCCTGATGAATTACCCTCTCCTTCGTTCTTTTGTCATCTTTTAAAATTAGAACTAAATGCTAGAATGTATAATATATGGAGGCAGCAGGTTTCAAATATTGTTTTGGATTAACTACATTGAGAAATTATTCTGCATTAAATGTAGAATTTTATTTTGATATTAGGTTTGCAGCATTAATTGTTTGTGTCACTAAGGTCAAAATAGTTTCTAAAAACTTGATTGCTTTTCAGGGTAGATTTGAGCTTGCATTTTGAGCATTCATTAAGTCAGATAATCTTTCTGAATGTTTTATGAGATTGCACTGCTTTGAAGGTGTTTCAGGTAATGGTGTTTAAAAATATCTGGTCAGTACTTTCTTACTATCAGTTCATGTATCCCTAGCCATTCAAAACAGTTGTCTTTGAGTAACCATTTAAAAATCCACTTCTTTTATTTTCAAAATGAAATTGAGGAGAGTGATTTTTTTTCCAAAGCATAATATTTGACATTTATTAAATAATAGTATAACCTGTGATTTTATTTCATCTTTAGTATCTTTAACCCTGATAATTTGATCAAGGAAGTGTAAAAATCTTTAGAAAGACTGCTTAGGTGGAGAGAAATCAATAGCCATGCTAACTCCATCATTTAAACACATCTGGACTCATTCTATGCTTCACTCTTCTGCTTCTCTGTCTTTATTGAAGGGTTTTATGTTTCTATTTTAGTAAATATTAATTTAATTTTTAAATAACACAGCCATAGTAAGTCTCTCATACACACATTAAAAGCACACAATTAATTTACTTTCCCCTCAACTTAACCCTAACATTCCATTTGATGGAAAACGTATGTATTTCAGATTAAATGTTGTAACTAAGCAAAAGTTTTTAATAAATTTAAAAAGAAGCCCTGAAATGACAAATTACATTCAAAAGAAATGCTAATATTTTGCAAAATATTTTCTCCTAGAATTAGGACTTAAATCTTGCAAAGTACATTAAAAAGAGAATGTATCATGGGCAATTTGATTGTAAATTATTAAAACAGCTATCGAGGCGATATTTAAAACATTATTTGGCCTGTTGATATATCAATTATTACATCCATATTTCCAAAGGCGCTGATAAACACTGGCAGTGTTTACGAAGATGTAGGAAAACTTACTTAGTGAACCCTCACATCTTCACACATGACCTTTTACTATAGTATAATAGGAATACGTGATATTTTCTTACTTTAGAACAAACTTTCTATCATTGACACCAATTTCATTTATTGCTCATTCTATTGTTGCACAGAAGAATACAATTACTTATGTTTTACTACAATGGGAAGCGGGTCGGTATAATTTTGAACACCAGCTGTGAACATGTGGTCAGTGTTTTTGATAAGCTAGAAGAATGTTTCTCTGATGCCAATATTGGATTTTCTCACATAACCTTATGCACACTTCATCTCAGTTGACAAGCACCTACCCAAATACTGTGTGCATCTAGGTTAAACATACATAGGATATTTCCTCCCATGCTCCAGTGAAAGATCACGGCAAAATGGTAATAAGCATCTATGTAATTTGCCTTTTATACGCTCATTTCTATGAACATATTTTCCCCCTAGAAATGGACTTTTTTAATTTATATAAAAAAAGGATTTAAATCTATTTACTATGCAGCGTGGTGTATCTACGGTGTATTCTTAAGTTCCATTCACTATAGGTACAAGTGGTAGCATATTCATTGTGCCTGTCTTGCATGAAAGCATTTACCGAAGAAATATGACAAGAACATGTTCAGCTAATGAGGTCGAATGGTTGTTACATTAAATTTAGGCGGTGTTTTCTATTAGGTTTTATTTATCTGTATTTGCATTCAATCCTTTCACATTTGTTATCTCTCGCCCAATTCCAGGGATGGGGTGCCTTTTCTCATTTCACAGCCAATTGTTACTGTGCGCTGACTCTGTAAGTTGCTGGTGAATGTAAAAGTGACTGCAATTAACCTGACTTTGTTGCTTGAGGAGAATTTGAGATGAGAAATCTGACAGCAAATGACAGGCAT